AACTACTGGCAACACTGTTGTGGCCCGCGACGCCCGCTTCCCCGCGTATACCCCGCCGTTGCGGGCAAAGGCTCGTTTAGGTATTATTCGTTGCGCAACTGTATACAGTAACTGTAAACAGCAAAACTGGGTCGGGAGTGTACATTAAAGGCCATATACCAGAACTAATACTACATTAACTATATGACTGTGCTAATAAATAAGTATTTAACATAGAGTAAATAAACATGATGACAAATGGCGCGTGTCCAATTTGTGTTAAAGACAATAGCATCCGACCGACGACGGTCTTGGGATAGGTCACATGATATATGGATTATGTATAGCGTGTATTCTAGAGCGTTTCTTCTATATGCGATTTTAGATGACATCGGTAGTCGGTTTGCACTTGCGTTAGATGGGAAGAACCCGGGTACGATAACACCAATTTCTTTTTTAATTGTGTTCTGAGTATTCGTAACCCTATTTTAAATTGTTGAGGAAAACCTATTTTATGAGGTACTTAATAAACTTGTCATAAGAAAATGTGTACGACCCCACATAAATTATGAATCATTTGATGTATTTCTTAATATATTTGTTTATATTTCAAATGACGAATCTTACAAATTCAGATATGTACGTTTATTATATACGTATACGTTACATACGTACGTTACATTATATTTATTTTATACTATCAAAATCTGGCGTATAGTTTCTTATCTGTTAAATAAATAATTAGGTAATAAATTCTTTCTCTCCACAAATTACAAAAATATTTGTACTTAAATATGCTATTCTGCCATATCATTACTGTGACAACTGCGCTCCGATTGGCCAGCCCGAGTTCGAAACAATTGACGAGTGTCGTCAATTGTTTCACTTCAAATGGACTAGTTAACTTGAGCTTTGTTATAATGGACGAAAATTGCAAAATTACATATTAAATATTTAATTACCGATGAAATGTGTAACACCACTGATTAGAACAGCATGGCATTGTTAGAGATATTATCTTTATTACAAAAAATACAGAATATTGTTTGGAATATACGGAGACGTACAAACAGGTCAGCTGTTGGAGCTGTCTATATTTCAGTGCAAACGAGAGTTGATATTTATAAGAGCTGTATCGCTAATGTGTTACCAGGAATATATGGCCCTTATTTCGCCTCTATTTCTGGTTATATACTCGATGTGTTAATATATAAATTGTTGCCGACGATCCTTTTACGTTGGGGCTGTCATAAATTAACTTATTTTTCGTAAATTAAAACTCGACTTTTCACTTGACATGTGTATGTAAATAATCCTTAGACTATGGAAACTAACATGACAACAAGTAAAGTAATAAAATTCATAGCATACGAAGGAGCCTGTAATATAAATATATCTAATTTATTGTTTTGTAAAGATGTTATTTTTGTTTTAAATGTAATAAAGCCCATTGTTTTTTTGTTTGGCCCTATGGCTCACTAGTAGAGAATGACTTACAGAGAATTTAGATATAAATATGAATAATGTTTCCGGGAAAATCGAGTAGCATATTTATATCTACTGTTACCATTATATAAAGGAATTTTTTCTCGAATCTGAACCACGTATATTTGTTTTTTCGAACAAATTAAAATTTTCAGGCTCTACAGGTCACATGATCACGGCTAACTACAATAATAAAACTGAATAATATACGAGATTTATTCCATACAAAAACAAAACAAAAAAATAATTATATAAATTATAATTATAAAAATGTAAATTCTCTATCTTCACTACCATTTGCTCTTCTGGTCAATGGAAGACATAGGACGAACTCTGTGAATAAATAACTAAATTTGAAGGGAAAGGGTACTGGTGAAATTACAGGCATTTGTCAACTTATATCTCAGGGTGACCGTGCCACTCAGATCCTTGCGATTTAAAACTCTGAGTGGCACTGCAACATTTATGTACAGGTGTGTAGCTAACCAACAAGCGCGGTTAATTTTTTGATGCAAAGTATTACTTAGCGAATCTTATCGTCAAAAGAAAAAGTTCAAATTGATTTGAAGTGATATAATGTAGACTTGTGCTGCGCACCTTTTTCTCTTTCAGTGTGACTTGGCCCTTACAGATCACGGCAACTTGGATCCGAAAAAAATAGTTTAATTGCATACTTAGCAATCGCGAAATTCTAAGAAGTCGATGTAACTAATTTTATTATTTGATGGAAGTAGCTACCAGTCTTCTTTCTCAACACCATAAACTTCAAGGTCCCCTTGTATTGGGATAAAGTATGTTATTAACAGAAAATTTCTTTTGTTTCAGAGTTTCAACCACATGAAACACAAGATGAAATCAAACAACGGAAACTATTGAAAACGAACGAACGACCTAAAACTATAATCACATGTGTTCAGACTTCCAAATAAACCCAATGTAACAATGTTATGAAACAAATATAAACAAGACATTGTGGAATAATCATTGAAATAACGGTTTTGAATGTATGGAAGAGACAAAGAGTTGCGCAAGCGAGGTAAAAGTACTCTATAGTCACAATTTTCATACGAAAACCGATGTGGTTTTTCGAACGTGCTAGAAAGAGAGAAAGCATTTGCGCAAACGAGACAAAAGATTTATTAAAGAAAATTTAAAGGAAATCCCATTCAATTTCCGAACGCGCTAGAAAGAGAAACACGATATAAGTGCGTGTAGGACAGAGCTAGAGTACGAAAATAGTGCGTTTAAAATTAAATTAGTGAAAAAATGCCTAGCCGGGATTCAGTGAGTGAAAGCGCGGCAGCGGGAGACACCGCCGGTATCGCGCAATGGTGGCAAACACCATGGAAAACGATGGCTGACTTAGCCGAAGCTGTCGATGACCTCATATGCAGCTTTGATTATATGGACACAGCCATGGACAATCTAGTCATGCTCATTTTCATATGGATTCTATTCTCCTTAGTGCTGTTAGGCATCGCGAAATGGGCGTACACGAGATACAGTACCAGGACGCCAGAAATCAAAAAGGATGAGCCAAAAACGAACGATGAACCGAAGAAATCTACAGCGAACGAAATTATATCTAGTGCCGATAGTGTTTTAGCGACAAGTGCTAAAGTTAAAAGTGCCTCATTCAATTATAAACCACCAGTAAAGGCTTCTGGATTTGTACCAGCTACTCCTCCTAACAAAAAGCGTATAGGGCGCATGTCCCCTGGACCTGAACAGATTAATATAAAGAAACATCAGAGTATCATCGTACCTACGTGTACGGGCCCCGACGCACCAAGTGTTCAATGGGTGAACGAATTGTTAACTTGGTTATATAATGATTTGGTTATAGTTAACGAGATAGTTCAGCTGTGGATTGTTTCTATGAACGAGTTTTCGAAGAAATCTGTGGAGGAGGTGAGTGTTTTATTGGTATTTTGTAAATAAGTTTTTTGCTAACGTTCGGGCGCCATATTGCGGAAGTTGTCGGAACTAAATTATCTCGGGAATTTGGGATTTTGTGGACACTGCGTGGTCAACTTTAGCTTTTATTAAATGACTATGTGTGACTTTTATTCAATGAAATAACGGCTCTGGATTATGTGTTAGGAAAACTGAAGCAATAATTTAAATTGAGTATAATTATTATTAATCGGGGGACGCACGAAGCGTTGCTTCGACGTTTATATGTCGAACGGCTATACAATTAAGTTCTTGTAAAAGTATAGCCTGGGCCTTTTCAAGGTGAGTGAATAGGCATTATTTAAATGTGCATGCTCCATCGTCGACCTTATCGCCACTTTTGCACCAGCTGGGATGGAGGTCAAATGCGTATTTATATTTTATAAAAAAAGTAACAATGTTTTTTAGCAACAATTAGCATACTATTTTTCCACGTTTGCATATAATCATATATTACAGATTTCTTCAAGTTTTTGTCAAAAATAAAGAAGTATTACAATTAAAAACAAAACAAAAAGCTAGTCGGCCAGTTTAGCTGTACAAAGGGGAAATGTTGCTGCCCTTCTGGGCACGATATCCCTGGGTACGGCAAGTGCCAGTATTTCAAATTTTTGTGAAATTTTGTGTAGTATATATATTATTCTTTAAGTTCCTTGTAAATACCCACTATTGTTATGTGTGATAATAAGACTAAATACATTTAGGAAATGAAACTATTTTTTTCAGATTTCAATCGCGTTTATTTGACATGTAAAAGGCCCTAAACGTTGGTGTATTTGAAAAATCAAATATACACGACTTAGATACGAAAAAATAGTTTCATTTCCTATATGTAACAATCAAATTTATTACGAAAACCTAAGACCTAGATAAAGACTGTTAGGGCAATTTTGTGTAGCGTCCTAACTGATATTTTAATTAGCAAAAATACGACGTTCTGGTTTTGAAACTCATTATAGTACTGTATACAGTACTATAATACTCATTATAGTTCTGTATATAGAATTTTAATGAATCTTTTCTATTCCTGTTCTTTAATCTGTCAATTTAAATTTTATAAACCACATCGTAAAGACGCTTTTTTTTGTTCTGAATCAAAATTCTATTTGCCACTGAGCTGAAGAATTTAATTAAAGAACTGTACACAGAACTATAATGAGTTTCAAAAAAAGAACGTCGTGTTTTTGCTAATTAAAATATCAATTAGGACGCTACTCAAATGCTATACTGCCTCCTGATTGGTTAAATTGGCCTAAAAGTCTTGCAACCTGGCCTTTCTTTATAATAAAAATTATTAGGGTACTACTACTTCTATTTTACCTCTTTGGTTTTTTGTTTTGTAGCGTTTTTGTTTGGCTTTCATCTAAATATATGGAGAGGCTGTATGGTGGAACCTTTGTCTGCCCTAATAAATAATAAATAAATAAAAAATAAATAACAAATAAAATAAAAAAATTATAAATAAAAAATAAATGTGCTAAAACTTATTAAAAGGAAAATTGTGTTTGTTGTCATGGATTGTTAGCAAAATGTACATTAAACATGGGTTCTGTTTAATTATTTTATTTACTCGTAGAAAAAGTACTGTACGCAAACATTACATAATTAGGTCTTAAAATCTCGCACCTATTACTTAGGCCACTCGGCAAAGCTTCGTGGCCTAAACACGGTACTCATCTCTATGAACCATCAATAAGCAACGATTGCATAAAATTATATTTCAGCTCAGTGGCGAGTGCCATAGACAATAGAATTTTGATTCAGAAGTAAAAAGAGCGCCTTTTGGATATATTTTAAGAAATTATAATTGACAGATTGAAGTGCAGGAGTCCCAAAGGCAGGAGTAGAAAAAAACATTTTTTATTGTTTCAATAAATATTTCCTGATAGGTATCATTTCCGCATCCGGTATTTTAAATACATAACCTTGTTTCAAAATAATGCCGAACGATTTATTGAAGCCATCAAAATAAGATCACATCTGATTGGTGTCTGTTATCGTTGCAAACAATATAATACTCTATTACAAAGTTGTAAAGGACGGGAATCGTATGTAAGTAATGGTATTTCCTAATATAACAAACAAGGTTTGCAGTTGATGAATTAAGATATGAAACAAAAGTGAGTTTTATTGCAAGGGGTTAAAATGAGTATTTGTTTTACTGAAGGTGTGTTGTATGCAAATTAAAGTTGGTGTTAACAATTAATAGGTCACGGTAAGGAATCTGTTTTAAAAACTGTTCTAATAATGAGAGTGTTACGTGAAATTATAATTACAATTATAATTGTAGAATATAATTATAAATGTAGAAGCCTAACAACAGTGAACAGTCCATAACCAAGTACGAGGATATTGGGATCCAAGTTTGCCATAGTCCGTCTTTTTGAAGTTGGAGTTTTTACTCCATCTTCAAAAACAGACAGTTCATAGCGCAAAAGTGTTGCCCACTTGCAAGCAGGTAGTGATTGCAGTCGATAAATATTCTATCGACACTGGATTGCTTGTTGGTTACGCTTATACAATACATAGCCGAATTTATTTCATTTGACTCATCATTGGCCCACTGGTCATCCAATTGCGGGGCACAGAATCATTTGAATTGTCATTTTTTGAAAATTCATACATACATGCAATACATTTAGAACTATGTCTATTAAAAATACAAAGTTTAATGGGAATAAAATTAATGAGATCTTTTGACCCGCGACGGGATTTTTTTAGGTTAGATTAGTATTTTAGGTTAAAAATCTCTTGCAAATCCCTTTTTTTTATTATTTTAGTACCTATTGACGAAGCCTGGTACTGATCTTTACTAGAAATATTAATGTAACATTTGTATTGGAATAAAAGTTATTATATTGTCAAAAAAAAATACAAAGACGAGACATATTTGAAAGTATTTCAATTTAATTTAATAAACATAATCCAATCTGCCTGTCTTTATTAAAATGTATGTGAATAAAAATTGATTTCCATACTAGTTCCAAGTGTCAAAATAAGAATTAAAAAAGATAATAACGTAATTAGCAACCATTAGAACATCGTAACATTTACACTTCAGACATTTTCGGAAAAATTTTACAGCCTTTCACAATGTATCGATAAAACTGTCGACAACAACTACATGACTATTTAAAATTTTATGAAAACTGGCAACCCTGCAAATTTCATTTTACTCCGTGTTCAAAAAAGACAGGCTATAATTTTAAATCATAGGGTCGTATTCCAGAACTCGTCCTGAATTGAGCCTTGAGTAGAGTTCTGGAATACGGCCCATAGAGCGCCAATGGCAAGATTTTGTACATGTGCTTTTTTTTATTAAGAGTTTTGGCTTGGATACAAGTCCTTTGAGCCATGTCTTCGTTTAATTATCGGGATCCTCATTAAATATTCTCCATTGTGGTTCTACGACATTCATGTTTTCACTTTCACAAAAATCACATTATTGTCACTTATAAAGATTAAATAAAAAAAGTTTGAATTCGTAATTATGGAATTTTCAGGATAAACTCTTTTGTAATTTGGTTTAGAATAAGGAATATAGTTCTAAATCTCTTCATAATTATTTCTTTCTTCGTATTTTGTTCATAATATACTTAAAATAAATTGATCTTTCTAGAAACTGTACTTGTAACCTGAAAAGCCCGCCATTTTTGTTTGAACAATTGGTATTCTGCTAAAAGTTAAGAGTAGCGGCTAGCTATGGAGCTACTATTCAACTGCCATTGCAATGTTTTCGTATTCTATTGAAGCCATAGACTCGCCAGGCGTAATCCACTAATTAGTTGACCTTTCTTTCGTTTCGGTTTTAGGTATTTACAATTTAACTGCTTGTTTCGATTATCGACTTTATTTTATAAAAGCTTTTAGAAATAAGCAGTTTGAAAGTAACCCTTTTGTTTGTGTTTTTCTTTTTACTGAATGTGATTGTATGTGTGTTTTCCTGTGCAATAAATGAGTAAAAAACTACTTTTTTTTTTAAATCCGCAAAATTTACATTTTTTACTTTGTACGGTCATTTACTGAAAAATCAGTTGTAATTGTTCTTTGAGATATTTCAATGAAATCTTCTCTTCCATTTGCCATAGTAAATATGTCAGGGGATGAGCTTGTTAACAGTAAGAGATAGATGAATGAATTAATGAGTGAATGAAATATTGTTTATTGCACATTAAAATTAAATGACAACACAGAAAAGTAATGTAAGCATCACAGACTAAGCCATTGTACAACAGGCGGCCTTAGGATAGAAATTTAAAAGTTGGAAAAGGAGGTGCATCCAAGGAATATCTTGTAATCAAATCGTTTTAAATACACTACTCAATAAAATAAATATATAAATAATAATAATAAATATACATATAAGTATTATTAGAACGTATACATAAATATTAATACATAATAATAATAAGGTTACTTATATATTTTTGTAGATCAATAAAATAAATTGTATATTTTATTTTTAAAGGGTAAATGTTTAGGTTTTTTTTTTATAATACTAAGTGACGGAACGAAAGTAATCGTCACGCATGTCCCTAACAGTTGCAGTGTCACTCAGACCTTTAAATCACAAAGATCCGAGAGGCACTGCTACCCTTACTCTTCAAAACCGGAACGCAGTAAGGTTTACATTACTGCTTGGTGGCAGAAATAGGTAAGGTGGCAGTACTTCCCTGGACGAACTCTTTCACAAGGAGCTCTACTGCTTAAAAAAAAAAGTTTAAGTATCCTCGAATTTCTCCGCGTCTAGATCACACGCTGCAAAGCCTACGCCAACGCCGTCTATAACACTATTTCGTCTTAAAGTTGTAGGTATATGTTGCCACAGTGACTTAAACCATCGTCCCCTCATTTAAGAGGAAGCATGCCAAAAAAGTTTTGACGTTGGCTCCGTCCAAATTTGTGAAACAAATATATGCCTGAAGTTCGCGTGACATGCGCATTAAAAGTACCAA